TGTTTGATATTTGTAAAAACCTTGAGTTTATTCAAAAAAAAATAAAATTAATCTATGATGTGAAAGTCTTAGCACAAAATATTCACTTAAAGACAATTGGTTACAAACCAGAAGCAATTAGTTAGAATCAGAATTTTTCATTCTTTTCAAATATGTGGTCAGAGTTTCCTGTTGGAATAAGATTGAACTAGTATCCTCAGATTGTTTTTAAAGTAGTGCTTATACAAAATACTCTTTTGGTCAATTTTGTATTTCAATTGAAACCTATCGGATTCAAAATGTAAAATAGTTTTTAATGGTTCACCAGGGAATGTCTTCAAAGTTTCAACGGAAAACAATGTTTCATTGTTGAGATATTGAATTTTCAAAAAAATAGTTCTTTGCCATCAAAATCGAGTTTACTTGGAAGTTCAATATCTCCACAAAGGAGCATTCTTTTTGGCTGAAAATTTCAGGATATTCTAAGAGTTGTGTGAATAATTAGAGATGAATCGAAAATTCAGTAAGACGGTCATAAGTCGACTTAGAGTTTTTTATTCTTATCGAAACCTCTCTTCTGAGTTCTTTTATGAAAGTTAGTCTAGTTGAATTCTCTGTATGCACAAATTCGAAAATCTAGCGTCTCTAGAAAAAAAATTCGATAGTTTAGTCAACACCCAAATCATTTTCGGATCTTTTCTTAGAACACTATGCAGTAAAGAAAATGATTGAAATCGAAAGAGATCAGCTAAAGAAGTTCTCTCATAATTTTTGTAGAGCAAAATTCGCTCTACAAACCGTACTATTTACTTTTGCATTGTAGATGTCGAAACTTTTATGTTTTTAAAATCAATTCTTCAAACAGCATGTTGTTTTTAGTGGTATGAAATTATAATTTCTCGTTTTAATTCCGAAATCAGTGTTGTACAATAATATTGCTGTCTCAAAACACAAACTATTTTTTTTAAAATTTTACTAATAATTATTCATTCTTACTATAGAAGGAAAATCTAAATAAATATGCGGCATTAGCAAAAACTTCTGATTCTAATCAGTTGTCTTTTAATGATGAAAAAAAATGAGTGAATATTTTGTGTCAAGACTTTCACGACATAGTTTAGTTTTTACATGTATGATCGATGTGTTAAAGTAGTAGTGCCAGCACGATGAAGATCATTAAGAACATCATGCATTGCTTGAATATCAATATTACCCTAAAAAAATATTGAAAAATACAAAATAAATTCTAATGATTCTGATTTGACATAATAAACCTCTCGAGCTTTAAGCCAAACATCTTTTTCTACTTGAGCTATATCTAATTGAGGTAATACAAATTTATAATAAGGACGGAGAGATTTAAAAAGAAATACTGCTGAACCAGAGGCAACAGCCAATGCTAAAGTATACATAAAAAAAAATAAAATACTAATAAAAACAAAAAAATCAACTAAAAAATTTTACCAGGAATTCTTGGTTGAAGAGTATCCATATAACAAGCAACAACAGCACATGGTAAATCTGTAAGATTATTTTCTTTAAGTAATGAAAATCCTATAGAAATAATTTCAAATAAGATTATTTTACTATTATAACTAAAAAAATAAAATTGTACCTTTAAAAACTTTTAATTTTGTTTGTAGTTTTGGCATTAAAAGAATATTTCCAAAATCCGCAATAACTAAATTAACTGAACCTTCCGCAAATAAATCTACAAGTTCCATACATGTTTCAACTGTATTGATTCCTGCAACGAAATCAGCATGTGCTGGTAACCATTTACTCTTAGGATCGGCACTAAACAATTTATAAATTTCAAAAATATCTAATTTTTTTTTGTTTTTTTGTAATTAAAATTATTTTATTTTACACAGCTGTTGTTGGTCGAGTTTCATTTTCATTATTATTTGCAACTTCTTGATTATATTTTGATGAAGATTTATCTCCTTTAATTAATGCCATTATTACTATAACTGATTAATTAAATCCTTTTGGAAAATATAATGTCATAAATTATTCCATGGCAACAACAACAACAAAAAAAAAAGAATATTTCAGAGGTCGCTAATAAAAATTCATTATTTTATTCGTATCTATAGAAACAAGATTAGATAAGAAAGTTCAATGGTAAAATTATGTTCGCTTTGATGTTGAAAAAGAAAAATAATTGACATAAAACATGTAGATTTCATTTTTTTTACTGTTATTTTTTTGTAACTATAATGAAAAAGAAAACAAGTTGTTCGATTTCTTTGAAAATGATTTTTCTCATATTGAAAATGAAGATATTACTTTTCTTTTATTGTATCAATACTTTGAATACATATGCTAGAAATTAGTTCATACAAAGAAAATACGTATAGAATATAATTCAAGCATTAGTATGATTTTACCCGATACTAATGATTATTATGATAAAGATCATGAAGATATTATTCATGAACAAACAAATCAAAATGAAGTAAACAAACAAGAAAAAGAAATGATTATTCTTTTATTTCATTTTGTTCTTTTAAAAACAATACTTCTTTTCATTTCTATTAGATTGTTAAGTTGATAATGGCAGTTTTTAAAACAAGAAACCATTCAAATCGAATAGTAGTTGATGAGTTTTATTAACTTAAACAAAACTGAACTGTTTAAAAATACTTGAATTTATAAAATCAACTAAATACACATCTATTAAATAAGATAGAACAATATCTAATTTTTATTTAATTGATTATGACAATAATAATGATTTGTACTATTCTGAACTTTACGTACAATAGAATGTTTTAAAAGTCAGAACGTACAAAAAAAAATCAATCAATTCAAATTGTCAGATTTTATTTTAAAAAACTTACTAAAAAAATTCTCATAATTTAGGTCTAATAACAAACAGCTTGATTGACAAGTTATCAAAAAGAGTTGGTTCATAACTTCTAAACTAGAAGTCCTAGAGACGTGTTGAACTTATATTTGAAAACAATACAAAATCAATTTCTACAAGCTCATCAACATTTTAAAAATTATGAATAACTATGTATATTTCGTTTACAGAAAGTGTGAAGTCCATTAAATCTTTTTCTAATGCTAATCAAATGTATTAATATCGCAACATGTCTTTGAATTACTTCGTTTGGAAAGGAAAATGGTAGGCGTCGATTTTGTGTTCGGCAGATTAATTTAAGACTTCTTCTTCAAGATAATCGATTTTTCTAAAAAGACACTTTTTTGAGATAAACATATAGAGTAAAACCTTTTTATTGTGATCGGAGCTGGCAAAAAGTGCTCATTATTGGAAGATTTTCAGTTGTTTTTTTTTCAAATGGTAAGTATTCACTTGCAATCACTTTCCGACTACATAAGATGGTCTTGTTCTTCTTTCCAATAATTTATTAGTTCGAACGATCACCTATTTTTTTTTAAGTAACACAAAACTAATCTTTTCTCTCGCACCCTTCACCGGATATTGTCGTTGTCTAATAGTGCTTCTTTCTTCTTAATACGCACGGTTAGCCTATTCCAACGGATCCCAAACTGTTCAGTATAAGGAGATGCGTATATCGAGAGGTTTTACTGTAGGCATGATCCTTAAGATCTCTACTATCCATTTCAAAATATGATGTGCTGCATTGTTTTTTGAACAACTTTTGATATGAATATCCTAGAAACCTGAGATTTTTACCACTCAAAAGCGAAGATCTACAGCCATCGAAGTATACCGAAATTTGATTGGTCAGCAATTGATCAATCAGATGAGTTTCTGCTGAAGATTTTTGAAAACAATATTCTGAAGAGATTTCCCTTTTTATTTAGACTTTTCATGAGACTATTCGATAGAAAATATTCATCTCTTTTAATCTACACAACATCAACATCCCTAACATGTTCCATTCGAGAGTTATAAGATTTCTCTTGACACCTCCGATTCCAGTTAATTTGACTTGTGATCATGCAATGAAGCAACTATGCAAGGGAAATTCGCCAAACTGAGTCGAATGATAATATTTGTTTTTAGATTTGAAATGATTCAACACTATTATTTCAATATTTCTAGAATGTCGGCTCCTTTGTTACATGAAGATTTATTGTGAAATTTTAGAAATATGGCGATAACAGTGTCAGATCATTTCGAACCTAAAAACAAATATCATCATTCGACTCAGAATGGTGAATTACTTCTGCATAGCTATTTTTCCAGATGATTACAGGTCAATTGTTTGAAATCGGGGCGTCTCAAGAGAAGTCTTATAACTTTCGAACAGGATAAGCTAGGAATGTCGATCTTGTGTAGATCGAAAGGGAAGAGTGTTTTCTATCGATTAGTCGTATTAAAAGTCTAAATCGAAAGAGAAATAGATTCAGAATATCGTTTTCAATAAACCTCAGTGGATTTTTCTCTCGTTTCTTAGTCACAAAAAAATTTCCTTTTATGCCTACAGATAGAGAATTCCTAGTTTTTCACAAAAATGTTGACTTTGTTTCTCAAATAACTTTCTCTTGTTGATGGAAAATGTAGAAGAAAAACATCCACTGAATGTTCCAACTGTAATCGTCAAGAAAACAAAAAAACTGATGACAATTTTTTAATAAAAGTCTTTTTTGTCGTAGACTTAAGCTATCGTTATTTTCTCTATTGCAAATAACCTCAAAACTTTCATAGTTCAATATAATCTTTACATGATTTTGTTCAAAATTAAGTTCTACATCCAATAAATCTTTCATAGAGCAAGTCTCGCTTTTGACAACATGATTTTTCAAAGTACATGCAAAAATACGAAAAGTTGTCAGTTTCAAGTCTTTTTCTCGGTAACTTTGAAAAAGTCGAAGAGGCATAGTGCACAAAATTCTCTGTCTATTGATATTAAGTAATGTATTTTTGACATTAACTTTACAAAAATCAATAAGCGTCAGCAGAGAATAGGAAATCACAGTTAAATGACTGAGTAAACGTGAGTCTTTTAAATTTGGTGTCAGCAAGGCAAGAGGAAAACAATAGAGACTTTGGTTGTGAAGTCTTCTGAACAGTGTTTCTAATGGCAGGTATACCAAGCAGAAATAAAATGTACAAAACATCTAGTGCTCTCGATATATACTGAAAGCGAAAAAACTGATTCCGTGATTCTATTGATTTTAAAATAATTCTCACCACGAGAATAGCGGAAGGAAGTTATCATTACGTTACTAAATAACGGGTAACGGACAAACTCGTAGGTTTGGTTCTTTTGTGAGGAAATGACTATTGAAGAAAAATCACAATTTCTTAAGAAGTTTTATCGAAAACTTTCGGGATCGAAAAATTCGAAACTGTAATCAGTTTCTCAGAACTATATGCTTGATTTCTCGGTCAAGTGTTCTAAAATAGCCTTTACGGCACCATGAAATTAAGTATAAAATTTCAAGAATCCGGTGTCTCAACCCTGAAAAATTTTGATCAAACTTGATTAGAAAATCGAAACTAAATGGTATTCGTCTCACAGCTACCATTCCATCACACAATTTCAAGTGAATTAAATATTAAAACAGTAGGAACTTAAAAGCAGAAATCCTATGATCGTATTCAGTTGCCGGCTCTGTCCAATTACGGTCGATTGGATGAATTCTATCACCGGATTTCTGCTTCCAAGTTCCTACCATTTTTCGGTCGTACCTCATTCACCTAATTTGAAATTTACTGTTTCCTTCTGGTGGCAAGATAAAAATTGGTTTGAAAAACAAAGTCAATAGTTTTGTACAGTTCGAAATTCTGTATCTTTTAGCATATAAAGAAAACTTTTTATGACTAGAAAGTAAGAAAAAAAAAGCACTAAGATTTAGTACACTTCATTCTGTGAGACACGCATTATAACATAAACCATTTCATTGTCAGACTTGGAATGCACGTTTTCTAATAGAAGATTATTTTTAATTAAGATTACTGAACTCTAATCATCCACATCAACAAACATTACTTTCAACGTCAGCAATCTTCACTCCTCCATCATTAGTACTTCCTTCAACAGATGTTTATGGAGTATGTTTATATCTCTTTCATTGTCTCATCTGTATATATATATTTGATCATCATCAGACTGAGATTAATGGTAATGATTATGCACGTTTGCAAAATGATGCAAATAATAATAATGAAGACATTTCAGTTAATAGAAAAAATCCTATTGTACTTGATCAAAATAATAAAATCTATGTGAAGAATATCGAGAAATATATGAAAATGATATATGAATATTTAAACATTAATTTGAATTAAGTGAACTTAAGAAACAAAAGATTCTTGTCAAAGAAAATAAAAAAAAGAAGAAAAATCTTCTATTTGATTTTGTTGAAAGGATCAAAAGATGATTTAGAACAAAAATATCAATTGATTAATACATAACACGAAGAATTATTTGAAACAAATAATCAATTACTTAGAACAATTGAAGATGCAGAATTACGAATTCAACAATCAGAAGCAGTTAAAACACAAGTACACACACACACACATATTTTGCTTTCTATTTATTAATATCAATATATTTCTAGTAACGAAGGAACCTTCTGATGTATTAAAAAACTTTCGACTCCATTTTTTGATGCATTACCTAGAAGATTACGAATATGGACATAGGCTACTATTTACGAGCGAATCGTTCCAGGTGTCAAATCGCTTTTCGACTGAGACATTCGTCTTCGAGATATGGAAATTTTATTGACTTTTTCGTTCCCTCAGGTCACGTGAGACTTTCGACTTCAAATACAACTTGCCCAATCAACTAATCTCAT